GAGCTTTTTCTCTGGCCGGTAACCCCCTTCCCCCCCCCCCACCAGCAGACCAGTCCAGCTTAGAAAGAGTTACAGGCCTATCAGCATTCCCTTTTTTTTGTTTAAACCCACCAACCCTAAGTCGAGGAAAGAATACCCCCCATTTCAGCTAACCAAAGACCCTTAGAGCCTTCAGCCCTCCGGGATAAACAAGACTTTAGCATCTGAGTCCATCCTCTGCTTTGCAAAGGGGCTCTCTGTGTGTGTGTGCTGTGTGCATGCATGTGTATGTGTGTGTGCATGCGTGTTTTCTCACCTTTAGTAAAATTCTTTCTTCATTAGCTGATTCTGCCTGCTGTGTCTGAGATTCCTTCTGCTGCCAACTATTGAGCTCAAGATTATTTTTCCTGCCTTTTAATTCTTTAACTGGCAGAGAAAATGAACCTAATCCAGACCCCTAGAATGTAACAGTTGTGTCCTAGCTGGAGGAACAGACATTTACTCATCTCTCTCCAGAAAGTCACACAGCAACCTTCTAATACCCTTAAATAATAAGTCGTGTTAGTATAAAACTTACACATACCTCCCTACCCTGCTTTACCTGTGAGTGCTATGTAACGGCTTCTTGTATTGACTAGGAAATAATAAAAAGCCTGGGCATATTCAGCACAGACATGTTTGTTTTTTTCAAATATTCTCCATTTGTGGATGGTTGACTCCAAGGACAAGCTATGAAAAGAAACTTGGTTCAGAGCCGACAGTATTGTAGTTTCTTACTTCTTGCCTGCACTCAGCACTCAGGGTTCCATCTTCCCTGAATTCAGGAGATGGGAAACATGCCACCAAGTCAATGCTGGATACAGGAGTCCTAGGTTTGAGCCTGGCTATTGCAGACTCACAGTGTGGCTCTGGGTAAGCTGTTGTCCTCTCTGGGCCTCAGGTTTGCCATCGACAATAGTGATTTTGGAGAAGACACCTATTACCTGGCTGCTCAGCGTGTGTTTGGTGGAAAGCTTTATCTGGAAGCTGAAGGCAGTGTCAAAGGTCAAGTCCTGTCTGCCTGCTGGAAGAATCCAAGTTCTGGCACTTTCTGCACTGGTTAGTCTCTTTCCCCAGGCTTCAGTTGGCCTGGATGTTGGCTCCCTCTGCTGGCTCAAAACTTTCTATTTTTATTTTTTTGTAGAGGATGGTTAGGGGAGAGGCACTACTGGACTTCATTCTCTTCTGTTTTATTTGTTTTTTGTTTTTGTTTTTGTTTTTTTTACATTTCCAGGTGTGGCTGGAAGCTCTAGTACCCAATTGTCACAAAGCTATTACAGGCACTACTCCATCAGAAGCTGAACATTTGCATTATAACACCAGTGACTCTGGAAGTCATTCTACACAACAGAGGTCATGAGTACTTTGCTGCCTGGGAACCTCACTTACCTGTAAGTGGGGCTAACCCCAGAAGGCCTCAAAGGCAGGTAGATAGAGGCACCTATACGCAACAACATACTGGTTACAGGGGGGAGTTTTTCAAACAGGCAAACTGGGTTTGAGTCCTACTTCCCACACTGCCCTTGGGCAGTTTAAGCTCTCAAATCTTTCTGCTTCCTCACCTTTAAAATGGACAAGAGTTTGGACTGGCTGGAAGCACAGATGGAAGACAGAACCCAGCCCAGAAGCAAATAAAACAAAGTTTTCTGGACAGAAAGGGAATTGAAATGTATCAAAGCATAAAGCTACAGTTTTCATGGTGTGGGCACCAGTTACCTTTTTATGAGGTAGGTATCCTTTGGACTGTATGCAAAAGCCCAGTTGCTTCTGTGGCATGAGGCTAAAACTAAATTAACCTAGCCTTGATTTTGATGTCATGCTTTCTGGCTGAATTCAGCAGATCATTTAATCTCTGTACTTTGGCTTCCTTTCTGTGATCTAGAAGCTGGTGCTTTGAGAAGAAAAACAGGTAGGGAAACTAATTGGTCTACTGGTGAATAGAAGGACCTAGTGCTCCTAAGTGCTGTGGGAAAACACTTAGCACTTGGCTGAGTTTGAAGCAAGAGTGTTTATGTAACCAGAAATATGTTTTGAAAAACTCTTGCCTAGTAGCTGAAGAGCCTCCCTAGAAGGGTTGCGCAAAGCACTGCAAATAACCCCAGATCTTGTGTCCCAGCTGAGACCCTGCTTCAGGCCAGCTATCTACTTGACACATCCTCTTGGTGTCAAATGGCACAGCCGGATTCATAGCAATACAGGATGTGGATTTCTCCACACAGTTCCCGTCTCTGGAAATGGCATCACTGGCCACCCACTGGTTGAAGCCAAATATTTTGTGTTCCCCTTTCCTTCTCTACCTACACCAACCTACCAACAAATGCCTCTAGATGTCCACACAAGGTCTTCATCCCCTCCAACCTACTCAAAGCCACAGCCATCCTGTGTTCCCAGCCTCTGAGACCTCTTAAGTGGCCTAACTGCCCCCAACTCTTTGGCTGTGAGCCAAAAAAAAAACTTCAATCTGATCTGGGAATAGTTTACATACCTATAATCCAAACCCTTGGGAGGCTAGGGCAGAAGGAGCTAGAGTTTGAAGTCTGATTTGACTACACAGAGTTCTGAGTTCATCATAGCAGTACCCTTATCAGGAAGAAGGATGGGAGGGAGGGAGGGAGGGAGGGAAGAAAGTAAGGAAGGGATAAATGAGGAAGACATGGGGAAGGGAGGGAAAGTAGAGAATGAAAAGGGAGGAGAGAGAAGGGAGGGAGGAGGCAGGCAAATAGAAAATATAGAAATGAAAAACCCAAAGTCTGACCATGACTTTTTGCCATGTAAGTTCCTGCATTACTCCCATCCCTGTATTTTGGTGTAAGCCTCTGTCCCTTCTCCACGTGCTCTCTTACCAGGCCCAGCCACAATGAGTTGCTTCTGGTTTTCAAAACTTTGGGCCATTGTGCCCTCCTCCCGGAATACCTTCCTCCACAGTCACAGTGTGTCATTCTTTTGATCATAGAGCAGTCGAATCCCTGTGGCTGCAGTGGCCCTCATATATTTATCACTCTTCCACTTTTCTTCTGTCCACTTATCACAGTTTATGATTTTACAGACTGTAGGGGAGTCCATGATTCATCTGTGGTTCCCATGCTCTTGTGTGACCCCTTCTCCCTAGTGTGGGACATTCCCAAGACTTACTTCCAAAGAACAGGAACCGTGACAAGATAGATGTGACTGTGCATACATAGCTGTTATGTCTCTTCCTTGGTGGCTTTGAAGACAGAGACTGCCACTTTGTTATCTGTCATAAGAAAAGGAACATGAAGCAAGGAACTAGGGCCTCTGTCTGTAGCCCTCAAGGAGCTGGGTGTGACCCGTGACCATGTGTGCATGGATGCAGACCCTTTCCCAGGCATACCTCAGCGAAGAATCCCCACCCAACCCTCTTAATATTGCTATGTCCTTTTATGCCAGTATTTTCTGCTGATTATTGATCAGTAATAAATAAACCACAAATACAACTATTATTCCATTTCTATTAGATAGTAAATCTTGGGAGTAAGGCAGGGGTCCTCTGTGTTCCCAGACTGAAGTCTCAGAACCCAGCTAGCTAGACAGCAGGATACACAGGTCAGACCCTTGCATGAAGTAAAGAGCTGTTCAATAACAAGAAACTGCTACTACTAATACTTCATGGTGTTGATGGCCTTGGACAATTCTTGTTCTCTAATGGATGGGTCCCCTTCAGGGTCAAGTAAAGCTGGATATCATAGGATGCAGGAAAGTTGAGGACTTTATGTCCCACTGGGGTCAGTGGCATCATTTTTTTTTCTTCCAGGAAACTTCCTTTTCTTCTGGTATTCCTATGGGGGCACCTTCCTTCTCTCCCACCCAACCCAACTATGGGGCCAAAGTGGCTGATCTAGGCCTGCTCCCAGTTCTTGCATGCAAACACAAGCCATTTGAGCAAATGCTATCATACTGGTCACTGTGATTGGTTCAAGGGTGGTCAATGACCCACATCTATCCAATCTGAGCCAAGCCTGGAATTTGCGTGTCCTATGGATGTAGAGCAGCTTTCTAGTCAAGCACAGGTGCACCAAAGAGCTGTAGAAACCTCCGTGTAGGATAGACCTGTTGAGAAAGCAGCTCACAGTAAGGACAGTGGGTGAAATCTCATGAGCTCCAGATCTTCACAATGCACGAGCCTGCACTGCTGTGAGGTCCTGTCTCAAACACAATACTAATCTCACCACTGGGTTCTGGTTGAATGAAATGATTACCTCTCCAAATCACTCTGATCCTTTTGAAAACAGCTTTGATTTGGGTGCTTTCTCTAGCAACTTAATAAGCTGTGTATTGTGGTTTGAATGTGAGAAGTTCCCCATAGACTCATGTTTTCAGCTCCTGGTACCCACCATGGGCAGGCCCTGAGGTTCTCAGCTGGGCTCCATTTCCAGTCCTCTAAATGCTTCTTGACTACAAGTGCAATGTGACTTTCTGTGACTCCATCCCCACCATGATAGACTGCAACCCCATTAACTGTAAACCAGATGAATTTTCCAACCCTAAAGTTGCTACTTGTTAGGTATTTGGTCACAAGAAAAGTAACTAATGCCCCAGATTATATAGGATGGGCTATGAAATAGAGAGAAATTGCTATGGTTTTTGTGTGTTCCCCAAGGTCCATGTGTTAAAGCCCTAGTCACCAGACAATGATGCTAATGGGATAGAAGGAACCTTTAGAGGATGGGGCCTAATGGGAAGAAGTTAGGTCATTGGGGGCTGCCTTTAAAGGGGCTATTGGAACCCCAGGTTCTTTCTGCTCCCTAGCCACCATGAGGTGAGCAGGCCTCTGTCAGGAACTCCAGCCACATACTGTGCCATCACAGGCACAGATCAGCAGGACTAATGTACTGAAACCTCTAGAACCACGAGCCATAGTTTTTTGGTTTTTTTTATAAAGATAATTATCTCTGTGTTTTGTCATTTTTAGTGAACATCTGATTTATGCATCTGACATATGGGAATGGGTAGGAGAGACAGCATAGCAAGAACCAAATAAATATTTAATAGAATACCATAGTAAATGAAGAGGAAATCACACAGGTGCTTTTTTTCCCACCTTTGTAGTCTTCAGTATGTGTTTGCTTTGTTAAGAAATGGCTTGACATGGCAAGATCTTTTAAAAACAGTATAAACAAAATGCTAACATGTCAAAGATCAAGGCACTCAACAACTGGACCCTGAGAATTTTTTTTTAAAGGACTCCTGGCTGCAAGGTTAAGACTGCTTTTTGGATTTTTAAGGCCATACTTCCCAATGTTGCTGCTCTTGCTGGTAAGAAAAGTGATGAAGGCAGAAGAGCTGGCTCTCTTTGGGTTATCTCTTTCCACCTCTTATCTCAAATGACTGGGGAAAAAAACCCTTTTCTTCAAGCCCCTACCCCCAATAAAATGAAACTAAATTTCAAAAACATCTACCTTACTCCCAGTTGGGGCCTGGGACTCGACCCAGAGGCCTTAGTGGTTAAGCTTCCCCATTCTAGAGGCCTAGGACTCTGCTAAGGTCAAGACTGCCTGTTCGGGAGTGGACTTTAGACACAGTGAGCAGCAGCGAAGCAGAGCAAGCATCCAGCCCTTTCTCCGAGCTATGATCTAAGCAGGGAGGGGAAGAGCTTTTCCGGGATGCTTAGAAAGCAACCGCTGGTTCCATTCTGCCCTTCATTCCTGGTAGAGCCTCTTGAAGTCCGTGGACTTCATAGCCAGCTGACAGTCAGTGTTGGCATTTTGCTGTGTCAGGGGCCTGTTGTGTGAAAAGACAAAATGGTTAGGTTAGGAGCAACACCAAGAATGGCCCAGCCACATGTGCATCACTCTTGACTGGTGTGTTCTGTGAGCTCTTGTCATAGAAGGTAGGAAAGCTGGACCTCTGTTCAAGCTGATTGACATCTGACGAAGTGTCTTGGGGGAAAATGGGGAAGAGCTCTAGGGAGAGACTTCACTTGGCAGAAAGGGTTTCTTGTGCTCACTTGCACGCTCATGGGCTCTCACAGGTGCCCCCACCCACCCCATCCCCATCCTTGAACATTCATTTATACCTGGAGCTATAGCAGTTACAACCATGAGGAGGCAAATCTATGGGCTAAGGATGGCAGTGCAGAAAGGCGGAAGGCACTCGGTATATTGGTGACACTATACCGTGGTTGTACCAGCCCTGGCTATCTCCATCTCTTGGTTATGCAATAAAAACAAAATCCTATTTGAGTTAGTATCTACCTCTGGTTATTTTGTTTTTAATTACTTGCCAGCAAAAACATTTCTACCTGGTAACAAAAAACCAAGAAACCTTTGCTCTTCTTGCTCTTTGTAAGCAAGTATGCGAGGACGCACTGGGCAGTTGACAGGCTCTGCGGTCCCAGCTGCTTGGAAGTTCCAGGCAAGAAGGAGATTGCAGTTTGAAGGTCAGACTGGGCTACCCAGTGAGTTCAAGGCCAGCCTGACCAACTTAGTGAGAGCTTGTCTCAAATTTTAATAATAATATTTTTTTGTTTGCTTTTTGAGACAGGGTTCTCTGTGTAGCCCTGGCTGTCCTGGAACTCACTTTGTAGACTAGGCTGGCCTCAAACTCACAGAGATTGACCTGCCTCTGCCATTCAAGTACTAGGATCAAAGGTATGCACCAACACTGCCTGGCTCAATAATAATAATTGTAAATGCTTAGAGAGTGCTTGCTTCAGAAGTCTGAATCTTAAATTCAGTCTGTAGAACTTGGGTGTAGTGGGCTATGAGGAAACCAGACATACTCTGGCTATTTGGGGAGACCCAAGTGTGATGTTGGGTGAGTGATTTGGGAATGAGTAAGCCAAGCACACTGGCTATTTGGAGAGAGCCAGTGTGATGTGGGGTGAATGATTTGGGTGGCTCTACAAAGACACAAGCTGCCCTGGCCCCTCACTTCCCCCTAGCCCAGCCTGCAGACCCTAGGAACTCTCTCCAGCACCTTAGACATTAAGATTATCTACAGAGAAGATCATAAAGTGTGGCTTAGAAACTGTCTAGTGCATTTTCCCAAGTAAGGTCATCTTAGAATTTGTTTCCTTCTTCTTAAAAAAAATAGTTGTGTCATCTTTTGTATTTTAGAGTCAAACCCATTAAACCATGGATGAACTCGTAGCTCTTGTGCTTTCAGTCAGTCAACGAGGGACTATCTTTATCTTGAGTGTTAAAGATTTTCCTAATACAGGAGTTCTCTGAAGGCAGCTAATTTATCATAACACCTTCTGTGTTCCTTCCATTCTTGTTATCTCACAGAGGAACAGTGGAGTTTTCATATAACATGTAGAAGATCTACATGCTTCAGTGAACTGACATAATACATGGTACAGATCTATTCGGAGTACATTATTATAATAGTGAAAAAAGTCACATTTTCACTAAATTTGAAGCAAGCATCATTACAGGGTTCAGGTATACCATCAGACAACTCCACAGTCCTCTGGAGAAGGTTCCCTTTGACCTGCTGCACTGTGAGGCTTGGACCTCTTCAAAGATTTCCTCCAGACCACATGAACAGTGGTACAAATTCAGGGTACAAGGGCTAGCCTTGCTACTTCCATCAGAACACACAGTTAAGAGATTTATAATAGCCAGGGATGGAACTGTGCACCTGTAGTTCCAGTACTTTGGGAGGGAGCTGAGGCAGGAAGATTGAGAGACTGAGGCTAAACTATATAATGAGTTCCAGGCCAGCCCTGGCCATATAGATGGAGGTGGAAAAGATAGAGAAAGCTATTGATAAAATGTAAGACAATGTGACCTGGCTAAATTAATTTTGTTTATAAAATATAACCATTTTCATTAATAAATGCTTTTTGTTTAGATGGGTAATATTTTTCCTTTTAAGTGAACAGTTTTGCAGTTGCTGGTAGAATTTGCAGTTGGACTGTTATCAAAGCGCTGCACCCATTCCTTAGATGCTCCAATAGCCTTTGAGAAGGTGAAGTGAGTTCTGAGAACAGGAAGTTGAGAATCTCTTCCCAAATGGGAACAGAATGTCTGATGTCCTGGTTGGGAACAGGGAGAACCAAGTTGAGGTGTTCAACTAACAAACACCATTCTGATTTTGCTTTTCTCTTTAAGTGTGTGTGTGTGTGTGTGTGTGTGTGTGTGTGTGTGTGTACATACACATGTGTGAGGATGCACATATGTGTGTGGGCACATTTTCATCCTCAAGTGTCATCCTCAAGAACACTTGTCTACCTCCTTTGAGACATGGTCTTCCATTGGCCTAGAACTCATTGAACAGGCTGGGCTAGCTTGCCAGTAAGCCTCAGAAACCCAACTATCTCTGCCTCCACAGGACTGAGATTACAGGTAAATACCATGCCTGGCATTTTCTTATTGGTTCTGGGATTTCAAACTCAGATTCTCACTCTTGCAGCTTCCTCCTGAGCTGTCTCATTAAGTCCCTCATTACACTACTTTCTACAGTATAATTTTTAAGCATGTAGCCTAATTAAAACAGAGTTCAAGGACAGGGAGGGATTTTAGCTCCAAAGCGTTGCCCTCAATAAGCCAAATAGGGCACTGTGTGTCCTTTAAAACTGATAGTGATCAAAGCAACTTATGAGAAGGTGGCTATGATTCCAGGATTATCAATTAAGCAATCTTGTGAGAACAATCTCTGAGCAATTTAAGATCACAAACACATCGACAAAAAATAATGACAGGATAAACTTTTTGAGGGGCAGGAGGATGCTGGGGATCAAGCCTAGGACCTTGACCATGCTAGACAAGCAATAAGACAGCTTTTGTTAAGATGTTCAAGGGCTATTCTGTAAGAAGACCAAAGTTCAGGGTCCTAGTGGATTTTTAGAGCATGGACTGGCAAATCAATCGTGACCATAGGAACTTTGGCAAGCCATTGGAACACAGCCATACCAGCATATTTGCTTATTATCTGTTCTCATAGTACAGCCACAGAGCTGAGAGGCCTGCCATGTTCTAAATGCCTGAGAATATTTACTATCTGTCCAGAGATTGTTGACTGCTTTATAGCCACTTTATATTTTGGCTGAGAGTTTTACCAGACTCAACTGATCTAGATTTAAGTCCTTTCTCTGCTAGTCTCAGCTTGTGGACTTGGCTTTCCTTTCCCTATCACAGAATGAGGCTCCCCCTGGGTTAAATGAGATGAGACTGGAAAGTGCTCAGCAGAGAATCTGGCACTGGGCAAATACCTTTTCCACAGTCATCAAATTAGCGAAAGCTTAAGTGAAGTACAAGAGAGACTCAGCACTTGGGAACTTAATCTAAAATCTACACACAGCACAAAAAACAAGTGTCAAAAAAGCCTTTGTAAGCCCCTTGAGTAGCAGGAGATAGTTGTGAAAGATTGTCTCCCAAGCATGTCAGCCTGCTGGGTTTCCCTCAAGCATCTACAAAGACCACTAGGAGCTACACTATGGGGGAAAAAAACTCTACATAGTAAACATGAGCCATGTTCACCCTGCTGAGAAGCTCACACTGTTACAAGCAGAGGAAACCAAGGTAGGCTTGAAGATGGCAGCTTCCAAGCTCCTGTGCCACCCTGGGAAGTAATCATGGCAATGGGCGAGCCTCCAGTTGTTAACCTCCCTCCACACAACCTCCTAAACTCTACCCGATGGCCTTTGAACATTATATATCTTTTTAGAAGAATTAGTAACTGCCTCATGAAGCTACTACAGCTGTGAGATAAGCTCTGTGAGTGATGGACGAGGGAGAAATGTTTGTATGTATATATGTATGAAACTGACATTTAACATCCATGGAACTGTAAGGCATATCTGTCTCTTAAAATTTAACTGCTAGACACCAAGTTGGATTAGAGAGTTATCTGTGTGAATCCCCCAAATGGCCAAAATTAAGTTGTTTCATTGACATGTATATTTACCTGGGAGAAAACCAATAGCTCATGAGGCATGACACCACCACATAGGACATCATGGCTATTCCTGACATGGCAAGTGATACGAAGCCCAAGCCACAGAGGATGCAGAGCAGTGAGAGGCCGCACACAGAGATGACCAGTCCTAGGAGGAGAGCATGGTTAGGAGGTGCCTTCATCTGAAATGAACTGCAAATGAGAAGAGCCTGGGCCAGGGTATTTGTAATAATGGCAGCTAACTTGGATTTTTGAAGTCAGGAGTTTTCCCATTAAAATTCACATTTCTGACATCATTTATAATGGCAGTAAGTTCAATACCTGGGTGAGCCTCAGCTTCTAGCATCAACCGGCTGGGCCTCTGGTTGGCCTCTATGCCCTACTGTTCACAAACTGTATAACACTTTGGGGTCCCTGCTCATTTTTGTTGCCTGTCCAATTTAAGGCTTAGAAGGAGTAATGGTAATGGGTGGCTGATGGAACACAAGAGCTTGTGTTTTAACTACTCTAACAAGCTGCGTTGGACCAGAAAGAGGAGTCTTTGATAAGAATGGCAGATATTCAATAAATACGATCCACCCTATTGAGTTTTTCCCAATAACCTTGGGCAAGGTACCTTCCAGCAATATGGCCCCCATAAGAGCACCCAGAGAGGTGAGCACCACGATGAGCAGGAAGAAGCCAACAGGGATGGCTGACATGCTAACAAATATCAGCATGGTGAGAGCCAGGAAAGGATGCCTGTCCAGGTACCGACCCACCGGGGACTTCATGAAGGAAACCACCTGCAGGCAAAGGACAAAGAGCCAAGGTTAAGCGCTATGTCCAAATCTCAGACTGAGCTGATCTGCCCCAGCTCAGTACAGCCAGAGTCAGACGCCTCTGGCAAGTCAGAGGCTCACAGACATCAGTATGAAACATCTCCCAAGGCAATGAGGCACCTGGAAGGAGCTGTGGGAAGGCTGGCAAGTGTGACGTTCCCACCCAGTGTCAAGTCCTGTGAGAGGAGGAAAGGTCATGTCACCGCTCTCTTGCCTAACACATGCCCTCTCAGAAAGACACCCTCTTACATGTGCAATGTGCCTACTGCTCTGCAGCCAAGGTTCTCATGACTAATGTCACCAGGATCAGAGGAGTTAAGTCCTAGCTACTCGGCATTACTCAAGGGCTTTATGGAGATGAGGAGCATTAGGCTCCACCTGACACCTGTTGCATCCAAATCTGCTTTTCAACAAGAGCCTAGGTCTAGGTGCTTTGGGTAAAAGTCTGAGGTGCAATGGACTAAATGGCTTATTTGGAGTCACCCAGTTTCCAAGCTAGATATTCAAAGCTAAGATCTTTGACTCCAAATTGCAAATGCATACAATGGCTTAAGACCTCATCAATGCTTTTATGGTACCAACCTGGAAGCTATAGTTGGCCACAAACTGATAATGGTAACCATATGCTACCTTAATAAACAGGTTGCCCTCATTCACCAGGCTAAGAGATCGGAGACCACACCCCATGGAGAAGGCTGCTTTAGTGCAGAGCTGGTCTTAGACAACCCCACAAGGACAAGCATCCCCCTCACTTTTCAGGTCTCAGGGTTTCACTCCCCTCATTACTGTCAGTGAAGCCCATTCCCTGAAAGATCCCATCATTCAAAAACCTTCCTCTAGAAAAGTAACCACCAACCCAGCTACAGATTCTGCAATCTACAACAGTGACTTGCCTGTATGTGCAATAGTGGCACCAATGCTGTGGGAGTAACCATACTATGATTGGATTTAAAGCCCACTCCACAGGATAGAACCCATGCTTGACACTGCTCCTGTGGCCAAGAATCTAGATTAGAGAGGCCTAGGGGAAAAACAAATAGTATTGCTCTGCTAAAGAAACAGCAATAAAATTACTAACTACATTCTGCTATACTCATAGATAAGCGTCTCTCTCATCCATCAGCAGAGACACTTCTTCCTGCAGTAGATGGGAACTAATACAGAGACACATAACTGGAAAATTGTTCCGAGAATGAGAGATTTTTTTTGGGGGGGAATATTCCGTCCTAAATGGGATCTCTTCATCAAACTCTTACCCTCATGGTTCAGGGAGCTATGCAAAAGAGAAGGCAGAAAGATCTAAGAGCCAGAGGGAAAGGAAGATTAAAAAAAAAACAAAAAAAAAAAAACAGTATCTTCCAGACACAAAAGGACTAATGCACATATGCAACTCACAGACTGTGGTAGCATGCACAGGGCCTGCACAATTCAAGGTGGCCAGTATCCCAGCACCAAGAGGGTCAAATCACATGAGCTTCCATCCCTAACCAAGAAGCTATCCACTTGCGAAGGAAAATGGAGTCTCACTGGCTTATGGGCAGGCTCCAAGCCCAGCAATAGATGGATGACAGAAAATGAACTCAATGGTATTTTTGTAGACTTTTTGTCTCTCAGTGCTTTGTTTGGGCATTTTTTATCTTACTAACCTTTTGCCTGTATATAATGATTTCCAATTTTGTGTTTTTATGGATTGTGTATATGTGTGTTTCTTGTGTTGTTTTCTTTTTGTTTATTATGCTTTGTTTTTTGCTTGCCAGTTTGTTTTATGGTTGGGATTTTTGTTTATTTGTTTGTTTTTTGAGACAGAGTTTATCTGTGTAGCCCTGGAACTCCCTCTGTAGACCAGGCTGGACTGGAACTCAGAGAGCTGCCTGCCTCTGCCTCCTAAGTGCTGGGATTAAAGGTGTGGACCACCCCCGCCCAGCATGCCTGTTTGTTTTAAAGAGAGAGAAAGAAAGGGCATGGAGTTGGGTGGGTGCTGATTCTCTGAGAGAAGTAGGAAACCAGGATGCAATATATTATATAAAAAATATCCCCCCCCAAAAAAACAACAGTGAAATAAAAAGAAAAGAAAACTGGGGGTGGTGGTGGTAGAGTGCACCTCCTCCATCAAAAACTGGTCTTTCCTGTGTCTCATTCCTCAGGGCCTTGGAGGCCAGTGGCTGAAATGAAGTGCCATTATCAGAAGGGCCTCTTTCTAAATCACATACTTCTCCTATATTTTAAGGGTGGGAATCTGGAGCGTCTATAAGTTAGAAACATTTCCAGCTTGTTATGGTTCAAACCTGAAATTCAATGAAGTCTTGCCTCTGAAGATTCCACCACATGTGGCTCTGGGAATTCAAACTCACATCCTCATGATAGCTGGACAAGAGCTTCACCCACTGAACCATTGTTGAAAGGCATACAGAAAAAAAAAAGATACAAATGCAAAGTATCTCAAATCCCACTGCACTGAGTGGTGGTGACTGAACATGATAAACTTGGCTAATTTGTATCATAATAGTCCTGTAAATTCAAAGAAGCCTAGGATTCTGAGTCAGTACAAAAAAAAGAATGTGAAACATTTCCTTTTCCATGACTATATACTAAAATGACACTATTTTTGATTTATTAACTTAGATACATTCTTAAAATTAAGCCATTGCTTCTTTGTACGTAGGGTTAAGTAATAAGATATTTTAGTGCACATGTGGCTAAAGTAACATTTCTGTTGGATGATGGATTTCTAATGAAACAAAACTCAGATCTTAAACTAGTTATTAGCTGGCCCCCTTTCTTATGGGAGCAGATGAGCCAAACTTTTCAAAGAAAAGAGTAGTGTCTGCTAAAAGTAGCCTCTTTAGATTCAGCTGAAGAGTGGCCATTATATGGGATGTAAATGGGAGTGTTCTGCAATTCTCTGTGACTTCCAGGAATCTTCCTTAATTTGGAGGTGGCTTCAAAACAATCGTTCTTCCCACTCCCCTATTGTCCTGTTACCTTGAATGTCAATATTATGACTGATGCTCTAGCAGCCACAACGAACATGGCACAACTCAGACATATCAAGGTGCAATGAGAAAGATTCCTGACTTTCTTGTAAATTTGCATTTGAGAAAGAAGCAACACTCTGTCTTGTTCAGACCAGTGTTCATTTCTCATTATACATAGCATTGGAGACTAACCTTTGAGTTACTCTGGAAGGAGTCTAACAGCAAACACAGCTTCCTTTGCAGCTCCTGCAAGTCTCTGGAGACACTTGGGGGCTCTTCTTTAGCCATCTTGAAATGTCTTTCAGTCTCACTATAAATTATATCTTCTACCATTAAGTTCACTGATGTAGCATGTAGCCCAGCCTCTCATGTCGCCTGTCTCTTGCTATCACTGAAGGAAACAGAAAGTTTCTTGAAACATTAGTAATCCCTGAGGAGCCTGTACCATCCCACACACTGATGGCAGGCATGCAGATGGATACAACTTGACAATATTTATCAAATTTATAAGCTGCACAGACATTGATCCAGCAATTTATTTTTCATGAACCTAAATGAGTTAAATAGATATATGAAAATATTTCCAAAGGGTGTGTATCTCATTCCTGTTTGTAATATATAATGACCAGCAAGCAAGCTAGAAGGAAGAAGCTAAATCTGTTTATTATAAACACGTCGATGGCTGGGTGTTGGTGGCACACGCCTTTAATCCCAGTACTCAGTACTCGGGAGGAAGAACCAGGCGGATCTCTGTGAGTTCAAAGCCAGCCTGGTCTACAGAGTGAGTTCCAGGACAGGCTCCAAAGCAATACAGAGAAACCCTGTTTCAAAAAACCAATAAATAAACACTTCACTGTTTTATACCACACACAAACACACAGTATAAAAAAAGCTAGAAAGACATAATCTCTGAGTGTGTATGCCTTTTAGCCTGAATGTTGAAAAGAACATATGACAAACAAGAAAACTATATGTACTATTCAAGTTTCCTCACCCCTTCTCTCTACCCCTACCCCTCCCAGTCTTTTTTTTTTTTTTTTTTTCCTTCAACAGGAAATTGGGACACTTTTTCTTCTTCATTTTGCGGACTTGGGACACTTTCTCTTCTTCATTTGGCTCCCAAGCACCTTGAACAATGCCACCTTTTATTTATGTGTGGTAAGGTCCTCACTAACAATACCTGTCCCCAAAGCCTTGGCATAATTATTTTCTGTCGATAGAAAACCTGGAATTTACAAGACTATTCATTTCACATCATTTATGCGTTTTTTTTCATGAAGGCAATTCGCCAAATTAGATACACTTTTAGCCCTCGTTTGGTTTTCAAATAAAATATTATTCTTATTTTATGTATCCCAGAACATCTGTCTGGGTGGGACAGAATAGGATCTCTGCATATATCCTATCAGCCAACCCTCTGACCTCACATAACTTGAGCTATGTAGATTCTGTCACGGTGTCAAAAACAACTCAGAGATCCTCACGTTTATTTACCACATTGAATATCCCACTTGCCTATTATGTGTTACAGTGAGGAAACATACTTTACCACTGTCTACACTATAGAGTGTGGTATGTATAGTTTCATAACGCCGGCTACAAAGAGAGTCTCTTCTCAGCCAGGGGAGAACCAACTCCTACACCAACTCCCATATTTATGTCGTTAATGCAGCAGCTGGCAATGTTGTTGAATTTAGGATGGTCCCAGCCTTCAGTTCACCTAATTTCATCTCTGCAGCTGGCTAAAACAAGCCAACCTGCCCCCCTTACAAGTCGTCTTCTGGCTGGAAAACATGTAAGAGCCTACCGGACCGGTCTGGGGAGTCTGATGAAGGCAAACCTGGGAAGAATGCGGATGACCACAGTCAGCACACGCGTCTACCTAGCCACCAACCAATTTCCAGACCTCAACTTCTTCTAGGGTCCTCTGCAGACACTAAGCAGCATCATAAGGAAGGACCGAAGGAGCCACCCCAACTAGCCTAGGGCGCCCCGCCTACTCTGAGCTTGGGGGCCTAACCAGGTTCCCCCAGAACAGGCCCCGCCCCAAGGCTCCAAATAAAGCCTTGCCTCCCTACTGCCTCGTCCCATGAGCAAACCGCCACCGTGAACGTTCCAGCCGCGGGTCGGGTCGAATCCCAGAGCTGGGGGCAGGGCTTTGGGGCGCCTAAAGACCTATCCCGGTTCCCTTTTCCGATGAGTATTGAGACTTTCAATTTAAGGCCGGGAATCCAGAGAGAAGAAAAGGGTGTGACGTGCAGATGTAGATCTGACACCCGACCACGGACAACTCAGGATATTTGGGCACCCTTCACTGATCTTCTGGGGCAAACCCACCTTTGACACCTGCAGCTCACTCCTGCTGTGGCGCATGACACCCCTGTTGATCAATCCTAAGGAGGTGGTGTGGATGCCTGGGCGACTCTAAATTTTCCAATGCAGATTTCCCCCAAATGAAGCAGGGCCTCGCTCGTGGATTGGCACTGGTGCTCACCCCCACCCCCTATTTTTTAACCAAATCTAGCTACCGATGTGTAAGCGCGGGGATGGCTGGAAAGGGTGGGTGGGCTCGCCCCGTGAGCTCCCACCCGCGTCTAGCCAGCGACACGAGGCTTCAGATACCTTCAAGACCAACCCAAGAGACCAACAGCTACTGGCGAAAGAAGCTAGTGCACTTCTCCTGGCCGCCGCCGAACTCCTCCACTTCCCAGGACGAGCTTGGAGGGTTCAGCCAGTCGGGGGCCCCTAAACTCTACATCCCATAGCTTTGCTCTCTCACCTGGTGCTAGCTGCCGCGACACCCAGCTCAGCCGCCACCAGGGGCGGAAAGCAGAGTAGGAGGAAGAGAAGGGAAGCAGCCCTGATTGAGGACGGGAGCTGGAGCTCCCCACCGGCAGGCGCTCTTCCTTCAACTAGGAAGAAGCCCCGCTCTTCTGCCACGCCCCTCCCCTAGGCCCCCGCCCCCTCACCGAGGATCAACACTGATTCTCCGCCCAGGCCCAGGTTCCTGCCCCGCCTTCCCGCCGCAGCGGGAAGGATCCGGTATCCTGGCACCAGCCGCGCGGCTGCCAGCTTTGCTAGGAGTATTTGCTTCTTACCACACACTCTAGGAACAACCCCTACAAACTTTTAGACTCTAAAGGATGACTAACGAGGAAATGAGGGCTTGGAGACAGTCCCTACAACGGTGGCTTGGAGTGAAAGTTCTGGGGCCACGTCTCAGGTGGACTGGCCTCAGAAGATGGGTTTTTAGAAGAACTTTTCGATACAGATCCAGTTCTAGATTCGCCTCCGGAGTTCGAGTCGGAGAAGTACCTCCTAGACTGGAAAGTCTAGCCATTACGAAAGTGCAAATGTTGGCAGTCAGGGAATCTTAGAGATGGGTTATCTCCATTTTGCAGATTAAAAACAAAAACAAACGGAGAGCTAAAGGGATAAGGTTTATAAATAAACTCAGATCCTCTTCTCAAGGATCCATGGTAGAGAAACCCACGTTTCCTGATTCCAAATCCAGGCCTGAAGAGTGCAATTACTCAATAGTAGTTGGCATTTGAGATGGGATGAGTCTGTTTCCTACATGCCCTGTGCGCACTGTGGGGTGCTTGGAAGCATTCCTGGGTTCTACCCACGAAATAAATAAATATATGGTAACAGCTCCTCCCAGCTGTGATGGCTGAAAATGTTTCCGAGGGATTGGGGGATGGGGCGCAGCCATCGGGTATTCAGAAGCACTGCCTCTGAGCTTACAGTGGAAAACTAAGGGCTGGAGCTCTGGAGTCTCCATCTCAGGGCCCAAGTCTAGCTGTGGCTGTGTGATATTAGTAATATTAACTCTCATGGGGAGCATGGTAAGATAAGGGTGTGTCACTGAAGTTTTTTTTATTTCAGGCACTCTTGTCTGGCTGCATACACTTCCTGTAGCTGCAGTATAACACATTCCCACCCAGGGGAAAAGAAAAATGGGTTTGTTTTCCTTAGACCATCAGACCCTGGTGGACATTGCTTTGGAAAATCGGGGCTTCTCTGGGACTTCAGCGTAAGGGTGCCATCTAGGGGCACCTCTTTGAATTCTCTAATTCTTCCCACCTCCCGCATCCGTTTTTTAAATCAGTAGGTTTTGCTTTTCCTGGAGTGACACTGCCTTTCCTACAATACCTTGTATTTCTCCTTTGGGGGTCAGCATCTCTGTAGCATTGAGAACTTGGCTCTTTATGAACATTCAAAGGATTGATAAAATAAACCCATGTGAAGCCTCTCCTAGGCTTTCCCACCATTTTCTATAGCAATGAACTGAATAATTTTATCTCTTCGTCCCCCAGTGTGATGATATTAGGAGGTGGGGGCCTTTGGGAAGCTATTAAGCAAGAAGATGAAGCCCTTAATTAATATAATGCCTTATAAAGGGGGGAGATGGAAGAGCAGCATACAAAGCTGGCAGTCTAGAATCCTCCCTGTAATCTCACCATGCTGACATTCAGACTTAAGACTTCCATCCTTTAGAACTATGAGAAATGGTGTTTCTTGTTTTTCTTGTTTATTTTGTTTTGCTGTTGTTTTTTTTTAATAAGCCGCTCAGACTGTGGCACTTTGTGATAGTAACCCCTATGAGCTAACACACTTGTTCTAGTTAAGCAATTCTTTTTCAGCCCTCTAAGGTCTAACCTGAGCACTGGCTCTGAAGAATAAGAAATGGAGACAATTCTTCAGCAATGCATTAATCCTAACTGTTACTGAAAGACCCCAACTCAAAACCCAGCCTGATACCCACAAGCATGTATTTGAAAATCACTCTGGACACACACACACACACACACACACACACACACACACACACACACACAGCTCTGGGAAAAAGAACACATGAAATGGTTGGTTCATGAAGACCAGTCTCTGGAAATTGTTATTATTACTAGTTTCCAAGGAATGCTATTATCCTCAACAACTGTCTGGTTTCTAAAAATTGTTATGGGTTACCCTGCTCCAGAGCACCCACGTATTGAAAATAAGTATAAGTCACTCAGTTCCTGGAAAAATCACTAGCTGTTCCATGGCCTTACAAGTGTAAAAACCAAAATAACATTCCAAACCCCTCGTGGGCAAAATTGTAAGTTCAGTTCCCAACCAATCAGGAAATGACTCATGTATGTTATAGTGAATCAATATGTTGTCACACTCCTGCTTAGTGACCAAAAAGATATAAAAACTGCTTGCTTTGGAAACTCAGATTTATCTCTTCTTAGGAAAAGACCCCAATGCATTGGAATAAAATCATTTTGCTTTTGCATTGAACTTGCATCCTGTGAGTGACTCTGTGGGATTGGTCTCCCCGAAGTTGGACCCCCTTTTGGGCCCAACATTACCAGCCAGAGCCATAATATGACCTAAATACAGCTGGCCTCTCCCCCTAGATTACCAGATTTAGCAACTGAAACTGTAGGACTCTCAGGTAAATTTCTTTTTGAGGTTAACAACCTATAACTTTTTGGTATATGCATGTCTCATATGTATTTGGAACACATTTATTTAAAAAGGTGTTTTGCCTGAAAAAATGCTTCCCTGAAATTCTGAGCTTCCTGGTTATCCTGAGTTTTATGTGTCAACCCTGGGGATTTGAAGCTGAAGACAATGAGGGTCTTAAGCTGACATCATTTCTTAAGAATAAACAGAAAAGTGTCCTAAAGGATTAGTTCTCTTTCCCCCTATTTCTTCCCCTTCTTCTCTCTCTCTCTCTCTCTCTCTCTCTCTCTCTCTCTCTCTCTCTCTCTCTCTCTCTCTCCCTCTCTCTGTCCCCCCCCCTTTCCCCATCTCTCTTTCCTCTCTTTGGAGACAGGGTCTCACTTTTAGCCTAGCCTGGCTCTTGTCATTCCTCAGTCTACACATAGGTTTTTAACTAAAGCCATGAGCAGTTCCCATAACCACATTCAAGTCCCAATTTTGCTGTTTACCCATTGGAGCAACTCTAGTCAGGTTGCTTAGTTAGTTAGCTAGTTAGTTAATTTTGTGTCTATATTCCCAAACATAAAAATTGGGAAAATAAGACTTTCTCTTGAATTGTTGAGAAGATAACCTTTATGTGTTGGGCATGAATACCAGCATATCACTTATCAGTAAACACAAAGTCCTCTTGTTTTAATGCCTTTGACCATAACTAGTTTTTAAAGAACATTAAATGTCAGATGAAGACTATCTTGCTACACAAGAGGAAATAAACTCATTAGTAACATGCTCATCTTTTTCTACTCCTCACATACATGGATGAGAGTCTCTCAGATGTACAATTCATCAATACAAAGGGCTGATTATACACTTTATGTTTGTGTGTGTGCTGGGCATCAAATCCAGACCTTGTATGTGATAGTCAAGTGCTTTACTACATTTGAGCCACAACCCAGACTCTCTATTATATTTTATGATAAGAAACATTAGCATAAGGGAGGAGGATGGTCAGGTTATTCTGAAGTGTAAAGAGCCAAATCTTGAACATAAAGTGTGAAAAAAAGGAAACATACTTGGTGCTTTTAAAAGGGATGGAAAATGTTTGTGCCCTGAGCAGGTCTGCGAAAAAACAGTGAAAATGTTTCATACTGTAGCCACTCTGTTAAGACAAGCTAAGGTTGGAAAACTATGTATCTCTGTTTCAGTTTCCAAATAGGAGCATCATGAAGTTAAGGGGGAAACTGGATGAAGAAACAGACAGGCACTGAAGCATCCTGAAAGAGCTTGATAAGTCTAACTTGGTTCTAAGGGAATATTGAAAGCAGCCATGTGATGAGTGCTTTGAGTGTTGGGGCAGTGTTGAATCTTGGGTACTTATATGTAAGTATATGTCCTTGTGCACCTGTAACTATAGTAATGCGCTAGCCACAACATTCATAGCCTGCCCTGGACAGAGAAAATTCTCAAGATGCAAGATTCCTGTGAGAAAGTAGGGAAAGAATGGGGCTGCAGCCCAATTGGAAGAGTTTTCCTAGCATGCATTGCAGCTGATCTTTAGCCTGCATAATAAGCATGGGGATTCACACTTGTAAATACTACCACTAAGGAGGTGGAAACAGATGGTCAGAAGTTCAAGGTTAACTTCAGACCCTGTCTCAAAGTGTGTGTGTGTGTGTGTGTGTGTGTGTGTGTGTGTGTGTGTGTGTGTGTAAGTTACAAGCAAATTAGGATAAATTTATAGTGTGCAAACTGTTTTAGCTGTATTTTCTCATTAAACTCGAAAACAACTCTAATGAGGTGGGTACTCACAATATTACCAGAAAATGGTATAGGATTTGAAAATGAAAGTTGACACTTTCACTTGATACAAGCGTCACATTATTTAATTGCAAAGTATAGAATCTGAGTTAGATCACTCCAACTCTAAACTTGAAGGACTCAACCACCAGCCTGTGTGCCTTTAGACCTCTCCAAGACAATGATCTCTTATTGCTACATACCTGAACCATTCTTCTCAATTTCCCTTCTGACATTAATGCTTCCTGCTGCTCAGCTCAGCCTCCTACAAAGGGAGCCAGCAGGTCAAGTCCAGTCTTGTGTGTAAGCACAGAGGAGGCCCCTCCTCTTAGCAACAGACGCTAAAGCCTAGTTACCCACTACAGGGCCTGGGTACAAACTCTATTACTGTTAAAACTGCTCCAGGAAGAGAGGAAAGAGTCTAGGCTCCCAGGGGTGTTATTTGGGATAGCAAGCTCCCTCTTCTATATATTAATATGTAACAGTGCTTCAATTTTGTCCTCTGCAGAGACATCAGACTGTTCTAGGAAATCCCAAGAATCCTACTGAAAAGAAACGAAGAAAATACTGCAAGGAGTGGGGACTGGAGGAGGACTTCCAGCAGAACACCATGCTACCTCTTCATTCTGTCTTTCTTTCTCTTCCTTTCTGCTGGGGAACTCCCTGGGATACCAAAGTTTATGACCTCAGAGAA